AAGTTTGAAGAAAATTTATATTTGGTTTAGTTTTATTTCTAATGAATGAATGTTCTAACCTTCTAACTGTATTTTTTTACATGTTCCGTTAAAACAAAATAAAATATGAACGCGTTCACCCACGACATGTAGGATCAATTATGATAATCGATCACCATTATAAAGGAAACACGATATAGAATATCCTCCAGGAATTTTACAGTTCCTGTTTCCTTAGACCACAAATTCAAGAGCACACAAAAGAACGGGATCGTTCATACGGAAACGTAATTTCAACGAAAATAAAAATAAACGATATTGAATTTTATTCAACCTTCATATATATTCAACCATACATATATATAATATACATATAGATTATGTAGTATATTAATATATATGTATAAATCTGTAATAATTTTTCAGGCAATGAAATATATATATTAAAAACAAAAAAGCTTTAAAACAGGCATCTATCCAGATATTTTATTAGATAACAAAATTAGATGTGTTTTTTTTTATTTTATATTTTTCGTGTTTTTTTCAATGAATTTTTTATTGTTGGAAAAAAACATTTGAAATTTTGCAATTATTTATATTAAAATATATTTTTTAACAGTTATGCAATATTTATCAAATCAATCAATTTCGAAACATGTATTTTTAATATATTTGATAAATAATCTTATCGATACCATTCTGTAAATTCCAAGAAAAAAGAACCAAAATGCTTTTTGCAGTCAAGTATTTGAAATGAAATACGACTTTGGTCTGCTTTTATAGCTTTTGGTATATATGTGTTAAAACGCCTGTTCTTCCTAATATCTGTATCCTATTACGGAATTCTGCCATTTGTCATTTGGAAATAAATCAGTTAAAAATAATAGATATGTTCAAAATTTCTTACATGAAATTCAAATTAATATTAATAGAAATAATATCGAAGATATAGGTAAAAATAACAATATCGTTTTATCTTTCCATAAATACCTAACGACGATATTTTATTATTATATTAACAGTTGTATTATTTACAAACAGAGTATATTAAGTAGATTAGGAAACAAAAATAATTTTAGTTGGAATTTTTACTGTATATTTCTAAGCCGAATGAATATACAATTTTTCAGATTTTCTTTATTAAATGTTAAGGCAAAATGCTACTTACACTGAGCTTCATTACCCGTAGGGTAAGTTATACCCGTAGGGTAATTTATAACTGTAGGGTAAGTCATACTCGTAGGGTAAGATGTACCCGTAGGGTAAGTTATACCCGTAGGGTAAGTTATACTCGAAGAGTAAGTTATAGTAATCGCAAAAAAAATCAAAAATGAAAATTTTTATATATTTTTACGTTTCAGAGGTTTCTGAACATTTTGGCATACCTTAGAAAAAATGGATGTGTTTGTATCTATATATGTGTGTGTGTGCGGAAACAAATTTTTGACGACTATTTCGTGAACACGGATCAAACAATTTAATCATTAAAAAAACATTCAATTTCTATTGATAAGGAGACGTGCTTATTAGTTTTTGGCAAAGCCAGACTAGCCGTTTCGGAGATACGGTGCAAAAAGTGCCAGAAATTTCAGTTTTTGAGATAACGGAGCGTCCGATTTAAATAATTAAAAAACATTTAACTTGCATTGACGAAATGAACAACTGATAAATTTTTTGTAAAAGCAGGTCTAGCGTCTCCGGAGATTCAAAAAAAAAAAGTAAAAAAGAACGCCATTTGGCGGTCAAAAATGAACATTAGACATATGTGCATCGTATTATCAGATGTTTTATAAAGATTATAATGATACGTACATATTTTGTGTACATTTATATGGGTTCCGTACCAATATTTACACGTTAGACGACTACACAGCCCTAACGCGCTTTCATAGTTCGACTCCAATTGTTCAAAATTTAAAAAAAAATCAAAATACAAAATAAAATCTAATTTTTCAAAAAAATCAAATTTTTCAAAGTTTCGCAAGTTTTTTTTAATAATTTTGTTTCGGTACAGGAAGTTCCAATTTGCCTTAAGGCACGATGCCATGCACCACTAGTATAATCTATACATTGAACATAATTATCATAAATAAAAATAAATATGAGATCTTAGGATTTCATCTAGATGTCGACATCCATTTGATTTATGACCTCAACTTGTCAATTCACCACAAGACATCTTAGCGCCATTCAAAGAATTGCCCAAAAATATCGTCCGGTTTCAACTTCTGTTTATTGTCTCATGAATTCGCTAGAGGCGGCGTTTGTTTTTGAATATTTTCAACAGATATCATGTAACGTAACTCTACACCTTAGGGCCGAGCACTTAAAATGACATTAAGATATGGACACAGTAAATAAAAGCTTCCAAAATTAAAATGTTTCCATTTAAAGCAACTGTATTTTGACTTCTTTGCCATTCTTCGAAAATTGCATGATTTATTTTGAACCGCCTCTTCTAGTTTTTAAAATCTGAAATTTAATATTACCAGCTCCATTTGTGTAAGAAATATATATCAATGATATAGTGGTCAACAAATCATCTATGTTTCCATTTAGAATATTCAAATTTAACTAGTGGTACATGGCATTGTGCCTTAAATTGCTGATACTTCCCGTACATAATTTAAAACTTTTGAAAGTATTATTTTTTTAAATTTTATATCATAAATTTTAGTACGAAATCCAAAGAAATAGAAACAAAATTTATAGTTATTATTACTATCTCTATAAAATATCTGATAATTTGATTGCATATGTCTAAATTAGCCAAGTGGTATTCTTTCAAAAAAAAAAAAAAAGTATGTTCGCGTTTGCATACATGAGCCAAAGTTTTACATTTTATGGATCTTTTCTTAAAAACGGCTGAACCAATTTCAAAAATTTAAACCGAAAATCGTTATATTTTATCGTTATATAGATACGCGCCGATCTGCGAAGCCGTTTATTTAAAATTAACCTTAACCAATTTCAAAAGTTCAAAAATTACTCATTAGTTTTTTTTCTAAAAACGATTAGCCGAAGGTAAATAAAAACATTCATTACACTTTACATTCTCTGGATGATAATTTAATGTATAATTAAATAAAACACATCAGTTTGGTACTTCAAATTTTATTTTGGCACCATATTATTATCATAAAAAAATCTACATTTACTAAAAAAAAACTTATTTTTTAATTTCTCAATAAAGTTGCACATAAGCATGGAACATATTGAACAATTAAAAAAATACAAATTGTTGTAATTAATATTATTATCTCAATATAAATATAAGGTATATATTTAGTGGATACAATCAGAAAATGTATTTACATAATTATTCATATTTATGAATAATAATGAAATACATTCTTACACACTGAAAAAAAAACTAACAATACATACATATTATGTTTTAAACTGCACTATATGGGTACTTTATTCATTATAATTAATTATAATTATCTATTAAATTATATTAAAAATTCAACTATTTAGTATAAAATACAGTCTATATTAAAATATTGTAAAAATTTAATGTAAGCAATATTTTAATTTGATTATTACAAATATATATTCTTGCAGCCGATATTTTTACAATGGAAATCCTCTGTAATATAAGGAGCATGTAATCCCAGTAATATACCAGTGCAAGGGTGTCCTTTGGATTTATGTTCTTGAATCTAAAGAATAAAGAAAGAATCACTCCATCCAGAGTTATGCAGAGGATGTGATTATGAATATGGAAAGAAAACAAGTAAGAAAAGTAAGTAATTTTCAACAGAAGCAAACTTAGTGATAAAACATTCTGATAAATTATATTATCATTATGTTAATTATATTAATTCTGAAATTTTAGAGTGAAACTAAATATATTTTATTATCATAAGTACACCTAAGTCTGTTTTTACACGGTCTTTTTGTACACGGTTTTGATATAACACGGTTTGAAAATTGAATATTTTTTAATTTTTTACACGAATTTATTCCATTTAGCACGATTTGAAATTTTATGTACCTAAATTTTTTTTTGTCAAATTAAATTTTTGCGAAGTATGTTCATATCACAAAAAAGTATTTATGAAAGAAAAAAGTCTGAAACCATCGATAGTATCGATAGTTTGCAAACACTAGCTTAAAGATTTAAGTGAATTCCCCTTTAGCGCGTACAAACAATTTTTACTGGTCAAAGCAAATGTGAATAGCACTAATTTAATTCTTGTTCTTAAAAATTCTTGTTTTTCACTAATTTTAATAGGTTTTAGAGATTAGGAACAAATCACCCATTTTTGTATAAGATCAATGTCTTTTTTTACACGTTTTTTTTTTACACGGATTCTTCTGGAACCAATCTCCGTGTAAAAACAGACTTAGGTGTATTAGATATCATTTGAACAATATGATGAAATGCAATCTGCATCATGATAAATATCTAGGCAAAATTACTAACCATTTAGATAATAATTTATTCCATTGTAGTACAACTTGTTAAATATACAAATACAAATGGATATAAGTTTATCATCTATATAGTGCATAAAAAGCACTCTGCAGGATTCGATACCAAATTAATTCTGGGGTATATTTCCTGGAGACTTCTATGTTGGGATTACCATGAATCTTCATTTATGATGAAATTCTCTTTCTGATGATTTGAATTATTATTAATGTAGCATTCTAGGCTGACATAAGGCTGGGCATAGTCATTGTTAGATATGGCTTTTACAGTTCAATAATTTCTCAGAATACCTGACAGGTCATAAGTTCTCACACATTTTTTAATTTCGTGCTTGCAAAAATTCACTCCAATCAAGGGTTACCTTTAGATATTCACTCCTGGCTTCATTTATTCAATTTATTTGTGTTCCTGATGCTGATGCTTAAGTTTTAACAGCTTTTTAGATTTTTGACTTAAATCACAAGAAACCTGGAGATTTATAGTTACAGAACGTCGAAAATAAATACCTATTTTTAAGAAACATTTGTTTTTATTTAAATTTCCTATTTGAAGCAAAAAGAAATATGAACAAGTCCAGGAATCATCACGAGGTGATTATTACATTTTATCATATAGTATTAAAATAGAAAAATCAGGTTGATGTAGTGGTATTACTATACAATTTCACTGTATTATGTTTGTTGATTTTTTCCATCTCTTCTGGACTAAACTGTAAAACTGCAGCAATAGCATTTAGCATATGACTTCTTCCAAATGTATCTGTAGAAAGAATGTAACTCAATACGACATTCTTCAGATATTCCAAATTAGCACCCTCACGCGATATGCTGCGCTCTAGTCTATGATATATAAAAAAATAATCAACAAATGAATACCTAAACACTTGGTCTTGATTCTTTTAAATTCATATTTAATCATATTCCAAATTGGTTAAGATCATATCGAAGACGAAGGCATATCTTTGAAAACATTTCTTGAAAAAAACTTTCATGAAATAATGAAAAGTATACCTGCTTATATTATCTAGAAGCTTTCTTTCTCTTTCAGTCCAACTATCTTCTGCTAATGTTTTTTCTCGAATTACATCTCTATATTTGTCATCTAACTCCCGTAACGTTCTTCTCAGCACTGTAATATCAACATCTTTCCGAGCAAGCTCATGTGCATAGTGCAACATATGCGGAGATTCACCAGATGTGATAGATGGGCCACCTAAAAAATTAAGAAAATTAAATAAAAAATTAAGAAATTTTGCTATTAAATAAAAAATGGATGATACTATTAACAAATTTTGTTACAAATGAGATAAAATGTACTCATTCAAACCTTGTAGAACATTATTTAGCTGGTGTAAATTATGGCTGTCAACTTGTTCAGTCTTTGGTTTGCATTTATCTAAATATAATTTAGAATTTCCTGGTAAGAAAATTTCAAAAGATTCTTTCAGAGTTTTAATTTCATGTTCTTTTTCTTCAAGAAGTCCTATTGATCTATCTCTTTGTTTTTGTAACTGCTTCTCTAGTTGACTCACATGTTCTTTGAAATCATTTTCAATATCATAAATCAATTGTTTATAGTGATTTTTCTGAGCAATTAAATTCTGAGTTTTTTCTTCTAACGAAGCCTTGTAGATGACTTCATTTTTGTCTATTTGCCCATTTAAAATAATGATTTCATCTTGCAATGATTTAATATGTGATTTTAATTCTGAAACTTCGAGTGACACATTTGCTGATCTTGCACTTTGAGTTTTAGTCTTATATTCGTAATACTCTTGCATTAGTTTGTTATATTCATCCTTACATTTTGAGTGATCAATCGCATGGGAAAAAACATTACTCAAGTCTATGGGTTTCTCAAGGCGATCATTTTCAATCAGCAGAATTTTTTTCAATTTTAAAATTTTGGCTAGGATTGTGTGGACTCCAGAAGATGTGAAATCCTCAGAATCATTAAAATCAACTTGGTCTTTGCAATTAGTATTTTGTGATTTGCAGAGATTTTCGATTTCATCTTTCAATTTTTGTATATTTGATAAATCATTTTGCCTAAGACGATCATATGCTCCAACCGTATCTGAAAGTTCTGCCAATCGGGCTTCCAGATTGGCAACTCGATCTTCATGCAATGCAGCTAATGATCTAAATTGTGAAAATGTTTTGTCATTAAATCAGAATATATATATATATATATATATATATATATATATATATATATATATAACTGACAATTTTAGGCATTGTATCACAATTCTTGACAAAATTCAGAAACCTATTTTAGACATTGCATTTATAAATTTAATTTCAAATAATTGATAATTGATAAATGATAAAATGTCAGCAAACTATATCCTTGATAAACTATGAAATCAGTAAGTTTTACAAAAATATTTATTAGCTCTCACCTCGATTTTTCCTCTGCTGTCCTAGCTCTTTCCTTTTCTTGCTCTAAAGCCTCAACATGTTTCTTTTTCATCATGCTGATTTCATTTTGCAGTTCTGCTAGCATAATATTTGTTTCTAAAGATTCGTTGTCAACGTTCTTACTGATGACTTTATTTTTGCACACATCATTCTGTACATCTATAAACTTTTGATCTGCTTCATTAACTTTAGCATATAACTTAGCTTTCAAATCTGTTATTTGCATATCCAATTGTTCTTTGAGATGTCGCTCATCATTTAAAAGTTTTTGTAATTCCCTTATCATGACTCCATGATCATTTTGCTCTTTTTCCCTGTCATGTCTTTCAATTATAAGCTTGGATTTTAAAGTTTCTAATTCAGTGTTAGTTTTAGAGCAACCTTTTTTAATGATTCCTTAAGATCCCTTATAAGTTATCTTTTGTATCGCTTTCAAGTCTTAATTGTTTTTATCAGCTTGAAATGAAGCTTCCATGCGGGATTTTTCAGCAGATAGAGTAGCTAACGAATTCAAACCTGTGGCTAATTGAATTTCAAGCTGTTTAATTTTATTATTGCATACGGAATGCTCTTCACCCTCAGTTGCTTTGGTATTATCAGTCTTTTTTAAAACATCACTTGATTTTGTCTCATTGACATTCTTACTAAATGTTGCTAATGTTATTTCTAAAGCCTCCTTTTCTTTGAAAAGACCTTTGTATGCTGTTAGAAGATCTGAAATTTCGTAATTAATGCAAATCATTAATATTAACAGACAATATATTATGAATACGGTATGATTTCTTTTGAAAGTATACATAGATAAAAATGTATATATATATATATATATATATATATCCATATATATATATATATGATTTACCCCTTAGTCGATTTTCATATCTAGTCAACTGTTCCTTCTGTTTAGAAACTAATGTTTGTAATTCAACTATGCTCTGTTTATCCATATTGCACAAATACCACGTTAATAATAAAAACAAGTGATTTTTGCCTAACGATTTTTTATCATATAAATTAATAGAGAAAGTCATATTAATTTATTACTATTATTATTTATAATATGGTTAAAACATAACTTTTCAAGAATGATTCATTTAACAATAATTGTCGTGCTGTCAGTTAAGTGTCAATTTTGATACGTCAGATGTTTAGGTTAACAGCTGTTGGAAAAAGGCAATTACAAAAATCTAATTTAATACATTAAATCTAAATTATTACATAAAGTCATATTAATTTATTATTACTATTATTTATAATATCGTTAAAACATAACTTGGCAATTATACTAAAATCTCAATTGTAATTTGTATGTAACTCCACACAGACTCCTTCATGAGGAGTCTCCTTCTATCTTTTGGTAATACATCAACTGTTTTATAAAAATTTCTAAATATAACATTAATGTATTCATTAATATGTTTTTGTTTATTCCAGATGCCGGTCGTTTAACATCCAATTCAGGAATTGAAGAATCTTCATACCTTTACCAGACATTTCTTCATATTTTAAAAAGTTTGTCTATGCATATAATAATTTAAATGTTAAGTGTGAGACCTCTTTAGGCCCTGTAACTTCTACACCAGCAATCCGTTCATATTTTATGATGTATATGTTAATCCATATGTTTAAAACATGTTTATTTTATTCCAGGACTCATTCACCAGGAATCCCCCTGAAAATATTTTATGAAGTATCTTTTTATCCATAATCAGTATAAATGTGAACAATATTATGTTTATTTTTTTCCAGATCCTTTCGACCACTGCTGCTCTGCACACTGACTCCTTCACCGGAATCTTTCCAGAAACATTTTAGCAGGTATGTGTTTATCTATACCAGTATAAATGCAAACATTCCTAAAATGTTTCTTTCTTTTTGCAGATCTTCTCAATCCAACTATTACCACCCTGAAGCTCTAACATGTGAATGACTTGCAAGTGGTTTTTTTAATAACTGCCTATAATTATGCATGATTAACAACTCTAATAAACTCAATAACGTGACTAACCTCACTTACTTTATCAGTTATTATTTATAAATACCACTTGTTGAGTTTTACTATGAAGGTCTTACTGAGGTTGCTGGGAAGACGGCACTGAATGATTTATCAGGTAATTCATATAAAGTATATTTTATGAGACTTGTATTAATTTATTGCCTTTGTTTTTAAGGTAAACGACAACTTGAAGCCAAGTGGTCTTCTACTCTCAAGTTGCTCATGAGTGAACAATGAACTACTACTGATTATGCTGTCCGTCCGTCTTATCACCAGAGAAGATGCCTACTGTGATATATTGAATAGTTAAGAGCTTAGATGTTCATGGAATAATGAATAAATATATTGTATTTAATTTAATTTGTTGTTTTAATTTAATTATTAGCCATTTTACGGCTAAATTAAATTATGCTGTAACCTAAATTACAAAAATATTAAACATGGAAAATGACTGAAAAAAACACACCGTATAGGTACAGGTATTATAAACATTAATATATTTTCTTTATATTATAACATTATTATACTCATTAATTTGTTCACCGACGAGGATTTAATATTTTGAAATTTTATATAATATATTACAATTTCAATTCTTCTCATTCAAGACTTCAAAGACAAATACGCCAAGGAAGAAGTGAAATTGCTGGATATTATTGGGCTGGCGAAAAGGTAAGATTATAAAAGATTAATATGGTAGATTTAAGGTGAATTGCAATCATGAAAATTTGGTTTTGTGGGCCTGGCATATTTTGTTGTTTGTGCTAGGGTTTTGAAACTTCAGTATGTTGTTTGTTGATATATGTTGTAGTCAAGTTTAACTGAAATTTTTTTCTAACAATTTTTTCCTCAAAATTTTTTTTTTCAATTTTTTTTTCCCGATTTTTTTTTCCCAAAATAAGATTTGAATATATACGGTAAAAAGCAAAGTGTATATATAGTCTTTGGATATGTGATTTGAATAGTCTTTGGATTCAAACAAATCCATTTGCTTTTGGCGAATATAAGTGAATTTTATAAAGTTTAAATTTAAAGTTTGAATTTCGCGCTCTAAATTATAATAATGACGACAAATATTTTGACACGTTGTTAACTTCAATTGCGTCAGTTGTCAAATAGATTTTCGTGAATTAACATGTGCTAGGGGTAATTAACGTTTTTTTTTTTAATTAAATCCTTGATTAGTTTTAATTAATTTATGCATCAAAACGTGTAATTAATTTAGTAGATCATTTTGATATAATAAATTTATCGTGAAACGTTAATTAAAAGCCGAAAAAATAGATATGTGTGGAGGTGCCTTTGATAAGTATCTCTTTCAGGGTCTCCATTTTGAATCAATTTTATAATTAAACAATTCATTTACAGCGCCATTGTATCCTTTAATTATCAATAGTATAATTTATATATGTGCTTTGTAGATTATTAATTCATTTACAGCGCCAATGTATCCTTTAATTATATAATGCAATTATCAAATAGTATAATTTAATATATGTGCTTTTGTAAGTTATATTTGAGTACTTCCAACACATATCTGTTATTATCGAATTCTAAATTCACGAAAGTCTCTAATATAAGTCGTGTGTCGTGTATTGTGTAAAGTTCTAAAGTAGTGGTTCTAAAGTAGTGATTTTGTGTCGAGTACTTGAGATCTGGCAGATGCTCTAGAGGTGGTTAGTGTATTGGATTTGTATTGTGGAGCTGCTATGGTGGATATCGAACAATGTAAGTGCAAAAGCATGTTTTGTACAAAGCGAGTCAAAGGACATATTTCTGGAATTATATACAGGCATTTATCATACCATATCTGTTGTGCCTATAAAGTTTTAAATATTCAATATTTAACTTATGTATATATATATATATATATATATATATATATATATATATATAAATGCATTAAGTTTATCTGAGTTTTGAATTTAAAGCAGTCAAATAATTTTGAAAATCTTTATTTCGAAACATTATTGTTTGTCATCTCCAATAAAACTATGATTTGAATAGAAATAAATAAAAAGATATTACTTATAATTTATTTTCTGAACAGAGTTTACAATTATTGACCGACTTTGTATTATATGCTACTTTTATGCTTGTAATAATAATACTTCTTATTAAATATGTATTTAATGCTTGTTTTTTCATATTAAATGAAATTAATTCGAAGGTGCTTGAGAACTTGTCCCTTTGTTATCCGATATCATTTATAAGGCAGCCTGTATATATTTTTAGTGGAATATTTTCTGGCTTGTGCATTATTAATATAGTTGTATACATATATCTGCTGAAAATATTGTTTTATACTATTATATTTGAGTCAATATAATTTTTTTTAATGAGATATACTTTATTAATTTTTAATGCATAAAATACAATATATTCTTTGTTTATTTATCTATTATGAAAATAAAAGATTTTAAATTAATTTGGCAGACATATGTGTAAAAAACTATGTTTTTATTTAATTTGTTGTGGGGAAAACATGTTGATTCATTTTTTTTATTTATTTATACAAGTGCCTTTATACATGTTCTAAATCACTAAAGTTTGTATTTCTCGTATGTGTCAAAGTCATTGAAAGTAATTCATATATTA